ATGTTGTTCTCACCCTTCTCTTCCTCTCTGTCTTGTCCTTCAGGTTTACGAGGGTTAATAAACCTGGGCAACACGTGTTTCATGAACTGTATTGTTCAGGCTCTAACACACACGCCGCTGCTGCGAGACTTCTTTCTCTCTGACAGACACAAGTGTGAGATGCAATCAAACTCCTGTCTGGTGTGTGAGATGTCGCAGCTCTTTCAGGAGGTATGATGAATAGTTTGCGTGTGTGAACTTGTTACAGAGGGTTGTGTAATCCCACAAAGAATAGAAACACATATTGTTTAGGTTAAAATGAGATTTTTTTTTAAAAACTATATAATGCAGAGTGTAACACTGCAGAACGCTGAGTCACGCTCACAGTGAGTCTGTCGAGTCCAGAAAGGGAGGCAGACAGGAGGGAACAAATCCTGCCTGAGAGGAATGTACAGAACCACACAACAAATTAATGAGCGGGATGCAGTGACCTGCAGAATGCAGGAACCTGACCAGTCGCTGCAAATTGTGTTGCATATCTGTGTATAGCCTTTTCCCAGCTCTTTGATACAAAAGTTGGGCATTTTATGTTGAACAAACTCATTGGCCCTGATTGTTATATAATGGTTGCCTGATCTGCTCCCACACTGCCTCGTTTTTTTCTTACACCCTCTCTCTTCCCAGTATATATGGGCACACAGATGACAAGTGCTGCTATGAGTTGAGTCATCACCGTTCCCCCTCTCTCCACGACACACACACACACACACACACAGAGCCCTGCCCTGTCTCAGTTGGCTCAACTGTTCAGCTACACAACACACAAAGGAGGTAGTCACTCACCTCTATCACCCAGGGAGGCAGGCATTGATTGAGCATTCAACTGCATCTGAAACAGAGAATTCAGGGTCAGCCATTAAGACAAAGGAGACTATTTAAACATACAATTATTCCCAAGTATTTGCACCTCCTTGCTTTGTTCCCAACTTTGTTGTATATTTCCCACACACCTCTAAATTGTTATCTGAAGCTCTCTTATGACTCCCCCTCTCTCTCTCTCTCTCTCTCTCACTCACACACACACACACACACACACACACACACACACACACACCCACACACACACACACACACACACACACACATAGAGCTTTTAGCTTTGAAGGTGAGAGGTGCAGCCTGCTTTGATCAGGCAGTCTCTTCGTCATTGTTGTCTCCCCGTTTCTTCTTCTTGTAGCATCTTTCATTTGTCAGCCAGCTTCAAACTGCTGAAAAAGGAGCAGAATTTGCAAGAGTCAAAAGAGACGTCAGCTTGGCATGTTTTCCCTCTCAAGGCTCACTCAGACTTCAGAGGGAGCTGTGGAGAGTAAAGTGAGGCGTGTGTGACATGAACATGTTGAAAAATGAGAGCCCTTTCTGGCGTTAATGAGCTCTGGTTGGAACTTCATTCTAGTGTCGGCACCTTGCCAGGTCTGCTCAGTTTGATACTTTCTTATGCATGTATCCTGACCCTGACCTGGACTGTTACTCCCTCAAATTCCCATGGCAACCCAAGAACTATATACGTGGATCTTTTTGCTTCAAATGCCCCTGTTTCCTTTCTCCGTCTTGCACCACACCTGCTCTCCTTAAGGGTGTGCTGTCATTTATTCACATGTAACGAGTCTAGATGAGCCAGATAATCACCTTGACTTACAGAATATTTGTGTTATGGTTCAACAGTTAGTTATACGTAGATGACAATGAACAATGTGGCTGTGAGACTGGCAAAGAGGTGATAGAACATAATACAAGCACATCACCTGTAAAATTAGGCTAACCACTCCTCTTCACCCCCGCCACCTCTCCAATCTTTCCTCCCTGCTCTTAGTTCTACTCTGGCCATCGTTCGCCCCACATTCCCTTCCGGCTGCTGCACCTGGTGTGGACCCATGCACGCCATCTCGCGGGCTACGAGCAGCAAGATGCTCATGAGTTTCTCATCGCAGCATTAGATGTACTACACAGACACTGCAAAGGGGACACCATCAGTAAGCTTCACTTAATTCCCTGTAACCAATTCCAGTGATTGTTTATACTGCTTTTGGGGTAAAATAAATTTGACCAAGTTGTCTGTAATGCATTATTTTTGAGGTTTGCTCTAGATTTTTTTTTTTTTTTTTTCTTCCATGTGCATTCAGGAATATTATCTGTCAGGCGAGGACTGCTGCTTGCTCAAGTCCGAAAGGGAAACACAGCAAAGGACAGTCAATTGAGATTGAGAGGTGTGTGTTTGGGACTGTGCCACCTACTGTCTCTGATCCGGATTGTGAACTTATACATAGATGTGCCCACAATGCACAGTGTACGTCTACGTATAACTTCACTCGAAGGAGACCGACAGTGGTGTGTACCAAGGGACAGCAAGTCAGCAGTGTGATGAATGTCAATAGGCTCTGCTGCAGTGCAATGACAGGCTAACTCACCCACAGACCCTGCAGTAAGGCTCGCTCTCATTGGCTAGAGAGGATTCAGACAGTTGCGAAGTGGCAGAGAGGCTCTGCTGCAGTGGAATTGTAAAGCGAGAAATAGGGCTAGACCGAGTCCTTCAGAAGTGCTAAACAGGTTGTTGGTGGTGTGTGTATGTATTTATGCTTGTGCTCTCTGTGGCCCTCAGGAGATGACAATGGGAAGAAGGCCAACAATCCAAACCACTGTAACTGCATCATTGACCAAATCTTTACTGGGGGCCTGCAATCAGATGTTACCTGTCAAGTTTGCCAGT